GTGATGAGTTTCAAATCTGTTGAGAATATGGGCAAGTCAGTTTAGGAGGTTGTAAGAGATAAAATTTTGTTGTTGTTGGTTTTCACTTATCATTCTCTTTAAACAGGGAAATATACACACAACCTAGTAAAAGAAACGCAAACTAGCTGTAGACTTAGTCTAGAATCAGGTTTCTCAAGTTTTTGTCTGAATGGTGCACGAGTGTATTCCTTCAACAGATAAACAAATGTTGGGGCTTGAATAGAAACAAATGAGAAGCATAATTATCGATTATTGACCTAAAAACAAATGCACATTGTTAATGGCTTAATGCTATATAGTCATGAAATAGTCTTTTTCATTACTTACAGCGTGCAATGTGGCCCACTAGCCTTTCGTTAAAAAATTACATACAACTTGCTATGTGCAAGACTTCTGTCTTTATTTTTCAATTTTTTATACAGGACTTGCATAGATATTTTGGTTTGAATCTTTATTGGTTTGTGTTTTGAGATTATTGCTTGCAGGGTAACACTTGATTGTAGTACATGGTAATAACGCTGATGAAGTGTGTTCATTTTTTAGCCTATTCACCATGGAGATGTTGACATGAAAGGAGGTGATAATGATGTGATGTTCATTGATGGGAATACTGGATCCCGTGGCAAAGGGAAGGTAATCAGAATTTACCATAGATATTACAAAGATCTTAGCATACTCCTGAAGTACTGATTATCTCTGTGTTTTATGTGTTTTCTGTTGGGGGTTATTTTGTAAATTCTTGCCTCATTCGCAGGATTTTCTCGAGCTATCCCTTGGTTATGGTGGTTCAGAATATAGTGTTGGACCGAGTCAAGTTCAGTCTTCGAAGAAGCACTGCCCTTCAGAATCAGGTGAAGTGCCTGCGAACCTTTTTTATGAAGATGATCCGTCTATGGACATGTACTTTAATGACCTAGCACATCACGACTATGCCATTTTGCAATCACATTTTGATCATATGGATACTCCACCTGGAGTTGAGGTTCCAATCCCATGGATGTCTGGTTTTGCTAAAGCTAAATTGACATCAACCACTACAAGCACATCGTCCACTTCAAAAGCTCTGAATTCTCCTTTTGGAAGAGAAACCCCTGAGGTACTAAAGTACCCGTCCACTTCATTTTATGACTTAAATCATGTTTTTAAGCCTACACCATTTGAGCTATCTTCGTCATCTCTGGGACCTGCTGTTGTCAAGGGCAAATTTTCTGCCAAAGCAAACTCAAAGGGGATATGTTTTAAAGAACAAAATGGTTCTACAAATGTTTCGCCCGGGGTAGAAAAATCTCTTAACATTCAAGGGTCTCGTCTTAGAAGGAAGATCCATTTATCCCCTGGAACAGTTTCTCATAGTTGGCATACTCCATCTATTCCTGGTGGAGCTCCGTTCCCTACAGCTCACTTTGTACCTCCACCAATGCCTAGTTGGATGAATTTCCCCCCTAATATGCCAACTGCTCAAGCTTCTTCAGGGTTTATGCTCGCACCAGGTGCTATGAACCCTCTCCCTCTGCATCAGGTTCATCCAGGGTTTATGCTTGCACCAGGTGATATGAACTCTCTTCCACTGGAACAGGTTCATCCAGGGTATATTCTCCCACCAGATGCTATGAACTATTTTCTTCCAGAACAGCTTTCTACGGGGCCTGTTCTTGCACCAGGTGCTATGCACTATTTCCATCAGGAAATGGATCATGAACTCTGGACGCATGGTCTGCATAACAGTGCAAGTCTATCACTCCAATGTGAATCAGCTCCTACTAAGGAACAACATGGAGATTTAGGTGAAAGTCTGAAGAATTTTCGTCTTTTCAAGAAATTTGATACTGTTCAAGATCATTCAGGCAATTACTTTTCTGGACTTGCATCTCATGACAACCAGGTTGGTTTAACTGTAGGTGGTTTATAGTTTTGAATAGTCGTTCATTATCTTATTTCTAAATGTTTGTTGTTCTGTATAGGCCTCTAAGGGTTGTGCCAAGAGGATACAGGAGGAGTGGAAGATACTGGAGAAAGATTTACCTGGTAACATGAGCAAATTTTCCAGTCTTTCTTAGCATTCCTACCTGATCTGTGATGATTGTCTTGGCATCAAGTTATTGAAATTTGGCATACATGCTTACAAAATTTGTTCAAGTAATGACTTTCTGAGGAGCTCATAATGTGATCAGCGATAAAATTCTGCCTGTCATATTTCATATAACCACACTCATCTGAGTGCCTTTTCATGAGCAGATACCATATTTGTCCGGGTGTATGAAACAAGAATGGATCTGTTGAGAGCAGTAATTATTGGAGCTGATGGAACTCCTTACCATGACGGTTTGTTCTTTTTTGATGTTTACTTCCCTAGCAACTATCCCAATGTTCCACCGGTATGTGTCTCATTTCTTCTCTGACTATGTTTTTGCCTTCTTTTTCGCCTAAGATGCCTCAATTTATCTGTGGAACTGTTCTATTTTTTTTCTTCCTCTTTTTAACCTCAAGCCTAACACCTTGCTAATTATTGCTGCTAGCATGTACACTACCATTCTTTTGGCCTTCGGATCAATCCAAACTTGTATGAGTGTGGAAAAGTCTGCCTGAGCCTTCTTAACACTTGGGGTGGTAGAGGGAAGGAGAAATGGATCCCTGGTGAATCAACTATGCTGCAAGTTTTGGTTTCCATACAAGGGCTAATATTGAACGCAAAGCCCTATTTCAATGAGCCTGGATATGCCAAGATGAATGGCTCAGCCATAGGGGAACGAAACTCACTGCGCTATAACGAGCACACTTGCATTTTTAATCTAAAGACAATGGTCTTTTGTATGAGGCGACCACCACAGGTATATCGTTCATGACCATCTATAACTTAATAAACTTTTCAATTATGCTTTGCGATGTTTTTTCTTTGGGATTTATCTGTTGGAACAGTAAAGTTACAAAACTAAATTTTAATCTCATTCAAGTAAATAAACCTTTAACATTGTAACAACAAAGTGACTAAACTTTCCCCCCTGTAACAACAACAAAGTCATGACTATTTTGTCAATAGAGATGCTGAACTTCACCATTATAACAGTCTAGTCACTAGACTTTTCCTTATAACAACAAAACTTACTCGTCAAGGTGACTTTATTGTTATAGTTGGTATAGTTTTGTGACTTTTTCGTTCTAAATCAAGCACTACGAATTTGAACATTCTGCTTTCTTGCTGCAGCACTTTGAGGATTTTGTTATAGGGCATTACTTTCAAAGTTGTCAAGATATTCTTGTGGCATGTAAAGCATATATGGAAGGTGCTCGTGTGGGTAGCCTTGTTAGAGGGTGCGTTCTCGAGGCTGGTGGTGATAAAGGTTGTTCTCGGAGTTTCAAGGCCATGTTGGCGGGATTCATCGAGGTACTTGTAGAGGCATTCAAAAAGATTGGTTGCGAGGATTGTGATAAGTTTCTTCCCTTGGCAGAAAAGGCGTCAACCAGAGTAACTCCAGTTAAGATGGAGACTGCTGACCATATATAGACTTCAATACTGTTATACACCTTATGTTGACAAACTAGTTTTCAGACTTGAATCATGCAGCTGAGTGTCCATGTTTGTGGATGATAATTTGTATATGGCTGCTATTACATAGTTTTTCATTTCAACTAATTGATCAAGTAACTGTTTGTAAACTCTTGGTATCAAAATTGTTAGCTTGTTCAAGACTTCTTTCTTTTGTATCTAGCTTTGTCTACAGGCATATTATAAGAACCCACTAGAGCCAAGTATCTGCATTTCATGAGCAACATATAGCTTGTGGAGCTAAAATTTCAAAATCTGCTTATTTTGTTAAGTGTTTTCTAGGAAAAGTACCTTGGGAGAACATCTCCCTTAGATGCATTCAATCATATCGTGCTTTTAACGTATGACCATTTTCAAGTGGTTATATCTTTCTTTCATGCTTTTCCATAAAACAAGTGGATCTTTAAATATATGCTTTAGCACAATTTTATTTTGATACTTTATATTCATCCTTAATAGTGTTTGCATCCAAAAGAATTTCTGTATCCAACACCCTTACTATGCAAGGCAATGAGTTAAGTGTGAAGGTTAATGTATTATTTATTTTTCTTCTTTTTAATATGGCTAATCTTGAGTTCATTATTGTTTATAATTTAGACAAAAACTACCTTTCATGAGTGTTAGATGCTGAAATTCATTTGGATGCTATGAGATTTGAATACACCATTTAAGGATGAAAATAAAGTATCAAAACAAAATTGTGCTAAACCTATGATATTCTTATGTCATCATCTTGATCAAATTCTCTACTTATTTTTATAGAAAGATTTGAAAGAAAGATATGACCACTTGAAGATGATCATATATCCAAAAATACGATATGAATGGATGCATATGATGTAACAAGACTTTAAATCTATTCATGAGTACAATTCTGTCTTGTTCAGAACTACTCTCAGTTGAAACTAAGTGGAAAAACGATCGATATATTGATATGTTGTTCTCCACTTTTCATGTTGGGAATGTACTCCTACAACATCAATATTGAGAGAGATTTCAAAAAGTATTCTGAACTGATTCTCGAGATGAATTACAAGGAAGGGAAACACTTCTTTTATAGGAAAAACTGACTCGGTCCCTAAGTAGAATCCCTAGCTTTTCTCCATATGAATCCACGTAATAGACATTCACTATAACACAAATATGTTTATAACATAAATAAGTTTTTAGACTCAAGTACCACATGCCATCATTTAATTCATCACTTTATCATGTCATTACGAGTATATTACACACATTTCATATTTTTGATCTACTATCAAAAAAATGTCAAATAGTTATCAATTTTAAGTACTCACTATTTTTTTTCTAAAAATAATAATTCTATTTATCAATTTTTTTTCAAAAATGATACTTTTCCCCCAAAAATAGTGAAAGTGACACGTGTAATGGTGAACATTAGCTCCTCCTTATCCAATCATCAACTAACACACATTCATCACCTCATCCATTTTATCAACAATACCACTAAACCATAACTCTTAAAAAAACCAAACAAATTCTACTCAGCCACACAAATTTATCAACTCTGCCATGGCTGGTTTGTTGGAAACTATCGCAGTTCCTCGTGCCGCCGCCGGCGCTGCTTCGCCGTCGTTGTCTCCTGTTGCCGGTCGCCGGTCTTCTGTTAAATTCTCTGTATTCAATGGTCTTAAGATCCAGTCGACTCGTTCATCAGTGTCCTTTAGCTCATTTACAAAATCTGTTCCCCGTAGAGGAGGAAGAATCGTCTGTGAGGCTCAGGATACTGCTGTTCTAGGTACTTATCTGTTTTTTCATCCTTACTTGAGTTCTGCCTGTAGTTTGAGTTATTTGGGTTTTTTTTTTCTTAAAGCTTAAATTATGACCAAATTAATGATTAAACACGCAATTGAAAGTTGCAAAGCAAAGATAATTCAGGATTTGAACTTTACGAGTTCGAGTTTGGGATTCTTCATTCCTGCATAGCAGGTAGTTGAGTATTGTCTTGCTTTCCAGCTGGATGGGCTTGATGGTAGTTTGGTGCAATGTACCTGTTTCTATGTTCATACTAGTTGTAGTAGCATTGTTCTCGTAGTTTCTTTTCAGATGATTTCTGTTATGTTATTTTTCGTGTTTTGGTTATCGTATTATTTGGCTATTGTTATTATTAGTTGTTTCTATGTCATGTTATGTAATGTTTTCCCTAATATTTGCTGTGTCCTCTTTACTTGTGTATTTTTCTTTTTAAACTTCTTTGATGTGCATTACTCGAGCCAAGGGTCTATTAGAATCAATCTCTCTACCTCTTATGTGGAGGGGTAAGGTTGTGTACACTCTACCCTCTGCAATTATCTTGGGGATATTGTTATTGTTTGTTGTTTTAAATTATTAGCTATGTTTACTTATAGTGTGTTTTCTTATTTATAAATTTTTTCATTGTTAAAATCAAATGTTTTGACCCTCATATTTTGTACCCTTTCACATAATGGGCAGAGTGAGTACTGACTAGTGCACAAAAGCTACTGAGTTTGGATAAATCTGTAACATTAACACTACATCCACCCATGTATCAGAGTAGTCTTGTTGTCACGATTCAAAGATATTAGCTATCTACTGCTGCGATTGTCAATGATTTACCAGATTATTATACAATCTTAAATTTGATGAGAAGTCAGTTCCATGACATTCAAGTTGGATATTCAACTACACATTAAAGAGTAAATCAAGTTTCTATGAACACTGCGGAAATCAAATGAGTGGAAAGACTACTAGAATCTATGTTGTTTGGACTCTCCATAATTGTTGCCATACCCGTGTCAAATCCTTCCACAATGCACTACTTGTGGAGGATCCTACACACACAAATCCATATTTTTTAAGAGTCCAAACAACATAAACTAGAATTGCCTGATGCTTGTAAATGAATTGAAGTAAGTCGATTAACCTGGAATGGGTACATAATTTTGGAGAGGGTAAAGGCTAATAAAACCTACCCAAACTAGTATTGCTTTGAACTCCATTTACTGTTAAATATTTGAACTCCTCTGAGGTACATTACTATTCTAGTAAAAGCGATTATTGCATATACGTTCTAATTTCTGCTTTCTCCTTGACATTATGTGGGGCTATTTTCAGATCATAGGAATCATTACGGTTTGTCTACATACCATGCTTCGTTCATCGGATGAATGACTTATGCTTCTTTTGTGTGAGAACGCAGGCGTTGCCCTTGTAATAATACAATCCTAGTTAGAAAAATGAAATCCTCTGTTGTCAAATCTTCCATGCTAGCCAGCACTCTGACTAATTACAAGGAGTAATGCAACAAATATGATGCATTGGTTTCTTATGTTGTAATTTTTGGTTGTCGAGGTATTACATGAAGTGGAATACATATTAGGGTGCTAAAACCATAGTTTTAGCAGCAAATCCACCATTTTATGAGCTTCTTTGTTTATTTAACATAGTTATTGTAAAATGCAGTGCCTGGTGTTAATGATCAATCATGGGAGACTCTAGTAATTGGGTCTAAGTTACCTGTTCTGGTTGAATTTTGGGCTCCATGGTGTGGTCCATGCCGAATGATTCACCCGGTTATTGATGAACTATCACAGGAATTTGCTGACAAGTTTAAATTCTTCAAGGTGAACACGGATGAAAGTCCTGGCATCGCGACCAGATATGGGATACGAAGTATCCCAACCGTCATGATTTTCAAGGATGGAGAGAAGAAAGATACAGTCATTGGTGCAGTCCCTAAAACAACGTTGACGGCCTGCATAGAAAAATTCTTGTAAAATGGTACAGATGTAGCTCTTTTATATTTTCCCTCTTTGCCTTTGGCACTGCAAGAATTATAACTTGATAAACCTGAGATTCGTCTGTATAGTTGTGTTATGCTATGTTTCTTCTTTGGCATTATGTTTGTTCTTCAATGTTTCTGAAGTTCAAATTTCAGTGGTAAAATTGTCTCTATATTGGCTTCATTTCACCATCAATGAAGATGGTCTCCCTGCCAATACTTTTTTTTAACGGAAAAGGGCCTAAAATACCCCTTGAAGTATTAGAAATGGTACAAAACTACCCTCCATTCACCTGTTGGCTCCAAAATACCCTTCTCATTCATCTATTGGCTCCAAAATACCCTTGTCATCCACCTTTGGGTTCAAAATTGACCACTTATTTAACGATTTTAAATTTAAACTATTTAAATACTGTATTTTTTAAAATACGTGGCGCTCAACTATTTGTTACAATTTAACTTATTAATATAATTTATAAGCCCGCCCATTACTAATTAAACTCCACCCAATTAATAAACCTACCTCAAATTCACCTATTAAACAAAACCCTGAACTCTTCCTTTCCAACGTTGTGTTCTTCTCAGTCAATTTTTTCTAGGTTTATAAGATTAGTGTTTTAATAAACCATTCATTAAACATTAACAAACAGACAACCCCATTTGCTTCCAAACAAGACCAGTTAACTAGTTATAATCAACAAATGAATTACAAAGAAATAGTAATATAGACCAGTTAACTGAGAAAGAAGCAAAACACTAATTTTATAAACCTAGAATAAATTTTTCTATCACTCTTTCATCATGAATCAATTTTTTAAAAACTCAAGATTGGTTCTTGGGATTTTCAATTCCATTAAAATCCAACCAAAAAAAAATTAGAAATTGACTAGGCAATTTTGCAATCTGTCTAAATCTTGAAGATCAATGGAGGATTTTGTTAAACGTAGGAGAAATTGACTGAGAAGAATACAGTCTTACAAAGGAAGAGTTCAGGGTTTTGTTTAATAAGGTGGATTTGGGGAGGGTTTATTAATTGGGTGGGGTTTAATTAGTAATGGGTGGGTAGTGGGTTGGTTTATAAATTATATTAATAAGTTAAATTATAACCAATAGTTGAGCCCAAGTATTTTAAAAAATATTTAAATAGTTTAAATTTAAAACCGTTAAATAAGTGGTCAATTTTGAACCCAAAGGTAGATGACAGGGGTATTTTGGAGCCAATAGGTGGATGAGTAGGGTATTTTGGAGCCAATAGGTGGATGGAAGGTAGTTTTGTACCATTTCCAATACTTCGAGGAATTTTAGGCCCTTTTCCCTTTTTTTAAAGATATTTGGGTGTCACCATGGGCGGAGCCACCTTAGGTTAAAGATGGTTCAATATTCACTCTTTGCATGAAAATTATATAGTGCACAAATGATAAATGTTAGCTATTATGACGGTATATTTGATTCTGTCATTCCCTTTCTATGAGCTCTAGTTTAACTAATCAACATCCACACATCAATCTTTCACATAAAATCTATGGCTTACCTTACAAAGCCTCACTCCTATTAAACTAAAAAAAATATTATGAATATAAGCAAAAAAAAAAGGAAAAAAAAAGAGAGATATTTTAGCTTCTAATCTCAGTCATGTTGACTTTATGAATTAAATGAAAGGGAAACAAAATTATAAGATTAGGAGATGTTAGGTAAGACTTTTAATTTTAAATATCTACATAAATAGTAGTATTTACTTAAAAGGTAGTTGTAAAAATTAATAAGCCTTAAATTTTGTACTCCCCCTTCAATCGAATTCACCATATGTGTCATTGTCAACATATACTTTCGGGAAATTTAACCACACGATATCTCAATAAATGTATTGAAACTTCATAGGAGAGCAAAACAAATTCTATCTATCGCTCCACACTAATTACGAGTTTTTCTCTATTCCTCTCGTATATCATCGTAACACGATTATTTCATAATCAAGTTCAAGTAGCCAACTAAAAAAACATGTCACTTCAAAATGGTTTGAGTGTCAATACTATTCTGACCCATCTCGTATTCAACTAATACTAAACTCTGTAACAAATTAAGACCGAACAAATAAACTGAAACGAATGAAATACCTTACTTGCCCCCATTTAGTAATATAGAATGAATTCAATTTTTTTTTTAATAAAATATTTCATCAACTATAAAAACAATTTTTTTTTTGTCATATTTGTCTTTAAGAGGCTTTTTGCTTTTATGGGGTTCACACTATAAATCACACCCTATTCAGTATTTTTGGTACTACTCGTTTCCTTTATCTTTTTCCTCTCTAGCGGTTCTTCCAATTCTCCTTTGGGGTTTTCATCTGTCGGTATGATTTTTCTCTTTCTCAATGAGTTTTCTCTATCAATCGATTGCTTTTTGCCAATGGGTATGATTTTTTTTGATTTTTTTGATGCTTGAGATCGATTATAGGTGTTTAATTTCAATGAAAAGGGGTTTAGTGCTCTTGATTTGCTTGAGAAATAAGGAAGGAACACTGAAAGAATCAATTTTTTGAAAAGTTACTGGCGGATTTTGAAAAAAATTGAGATTTGGGTGTTTGGTATTCGTTCTAGTTTCTCTTTTATGTGAGTAAATTTTGGTCCTTTTACACTTAGTCGGATTTTTTTTATATGGCTTTTTGATTGTTATGGCTTTTTATGGAATCTTGTGTTGCTGCTATTTTGGTTTACATTCGAAAATGGTGTTTAAGATGTTTCTGTTTTACTGTTTCAGTTTGTTGCTTATCACTTGGGAGCTATGTTGCTTGTACTCTCAGAAAATGTTGCTGCACTTGTGTCGGATCCTTCAAAAGTGCGTTACTTTTGAGGATCAGACATGTATCCGTCAACATTTTTGACGAGTTCGAGCAGCATAGGTTGGGAGAAATGAAACCAAACTTTAGGTTCTGTTACTGATTTAACAAGTATATATCAGTTCTAATCAGCTGACTGCAGCTAGCTTGCGTTTGAAACGTAGTAGTTGTAAAATTGTGATATTTTAAAGCATCATTGTAGAACATAGGAATGAAAACAGTATTGATACTTGGGTTGGGTTTGAGCTTTGGGGGGTTTGAGTTAGAGACTGGTTTTATGTTATCTGGTGTCTGGTGTTATATTTCCATCTGATACTTTTCATTATTGCGTGGGACTAAATGATATTGAGAAAAAACTGCAAGGGTTGGCTGAGTTGGTTGGGTGAGTGGTTTCCCACATGGGAGCCTTGGATCGATTCCCCCCGCCAGCAGCCTTCTCAGTGAGAACTCGTCGCACTTGGCTTGCCTAGTGCGGTTTACACCTCCTGTGTGGTTAGCAAGTTATTGCACATGAACGGGTTTACAGTTTACTCAGTGTGCACTTGAAGGGTAGCGTTTGTGGGTTTCCAAAAAAAGAAATGATATTGAGAATATGACTGGGAATACATGTCAATTATTTTATTCAAACAAGTTTTCCAAATCCATGGATCCTAATGGATGTTGGAGTGTTTTAACCCAATTAATAATGCAGGTTTATATATTCAAATTTTGGGAAGCAATCATAAGTTTATTTTTGTCTTTTTGATAACTTGAACTACAATATTTTTTCACCGAATGGTTTCGAGATAGGACAGACTCAAGCTAGTGAAATGAAACTTTGTAGGGCATTGTTTTAGTGCTTGATTAAAGAGGCATTTAAATGGACATGATTTTGTATCCAATCCATACTACTTGCTTTCATACTCTCACTCCCATTTGATTCTTAAACAGAAAGAAGAAGGAGAAAACAATGAAACGCTTTTCTGATTAATCTGCGAAGACCAAACTAATTATCATTCATCAAAAGTTTGTTAGTCCCATTTGTGCATTTCATGTAGTTCGCTTGCTCATACACAGATGTTTGATTTCTATAGTGCATTTTGTGATTGTGAGGTCCGTGATTATTTGTGAATTTCATCTTTAACAGATTTCATGACTATCACCCGCGTTGGGTCTGATGAAGATATTTCCGTTGATGAGAGAAACTCAGTTCCATTTCCAACAGCAGCCTCTGAAAATGACACTTCCTGTTTTGATTGCAACATTTGCCTTGACTCAGCACATGATCCTGTAGTCACCCTCTGCGGTCACCTCTACTGCTGGCCTTGCATTTACAAGTGGCTTCAGGTTGAGAGCTCTGGACCAGGATCAGTAGAAAACTCTAAATGTCCAGTCTGTAAAGCTCACATTTCAAACTCCTCGCTGGTGCCTCTCTATGGTCGTGGGATATCATCATTGGAGTCTGAACCCAAGAAGGCTCAGGCAGATGTAGACATACCTCATAGGCCTCGAGCAATTAGGACAATGACACTGCGTAATTCAGTGTCTCCAATTCCTCGCTTACATCAGAGACTTCGTCAAACTTCTCTCCACCCTCCACGACCCTCCACATTTCAACATCACCGGCAATACTTCCCCCAAGCCTTTGGTAGCTATGCAGCTATGGCTCCATCTAGCTTTGGGAGCACAGCAATGACCAGTTTGTTCAGCCCAGTGGTTGGTGTGTTTGGAGAAATGTTTTCTTCAAGAATGTTTGGAATTGCTTATCCTCATCCTAGATCTTATCTCATCCGAGGACGTAGTGGTCTTAGAATGAGAAGGGAAGAAATGCAGGCGGACAAATCTCTCAACAGATTGTCCATCTTTCTTTTCTGCTGCTTTATCTTGTGTCTACTCCTGTTTTGAGGTTCATATAATGTTTATCTTCATCATATATTTGTATGAATATGTGGCTGTGCTTACAAGAGTCAGGTAATAGTTCATAGTAGAAAAATATAGACTAGTAAGAGATTTAGTAGAAATAGCTTTATACACCATGCAAAGGTTGCTTCATTTCCTTATCTTTATGCCTCTTTTGGCAAAACAATACTGTTTCTTCAGAAAGTGGCAACACAAATGATACATGTTAGTTTATATTGTTGATACTTTGAGTTGCTTTGTGCATGGAATGACAATGTGTTCTTCGCATTTGACAGAATTTTCATTCATAGTAAATGGTTCTAAAATATGTATTAGTTGCCATCACAAATGGAAATGATGATCATTTTGCTTGACATAGCTTAAACTTTGTTGTGCTTGATGCTCCTAAGGACCTGATCTCATTCTACTACTAATACATAAATGTATGTCCAAGTGTCCATGACAACAACATACTTACTAAAATTTCACAAGGGGGTCTGGGAAAGTAGAGTATACGCATATCATAATCCTATCCAAGAAGATTGTTTTTAGAGGACCTTCGGTTTGAGCATAAAATATCAGAATAATGAAAAAGGGAAAAATGATAGTGGAGAAACAAAACAACTAATAAGGAAACAATAACAACCACAAAATAATGTGATCACCTAAATGCAATCAACAACAAGTGTTGGTGGAATCAAAAGCAAAACACTATAAGAAAATGACTAAATCTCTCGAAAATCAAGACAACACTTCATACCTATTAATCTTTTATCCTAATATGCGACCTCCACACCCTTCTATTTAATGTCATGTCCTCTGTAATCTGAAATAATGTCATGTCCTGTTTAATCACCTCTTCCCAATACTTTTTCGGTCTACCTCTACCTCTCATTGTACCCACTACATCCAGCCTCTTACACTTCTTCATCAGGGCATCTGCTCATCTTCTTTTCACATGTCCATGTCTGAATCATCTTAGTCTTGCTTCTTTTATCTTGTCCGCTACTGAAGTGACTCCACCTTATCTCAAATATCCCCATTCTAATCCGTTTAAGGGTAAGAAAATTAGTAGGTAGTTCTAATTATCATCCAATTGATAGTTACACTCATGTTGAAGAAACACCTTATTTTCATGATATAATCTACAAACACACTATGATCATGATGATTATGATAGTATGAATGTGAATTAAGAAGGTGAATTAGTTGATGCCCCCACTAGTCCAATAACTTCATCTTAGACTTAGGTACCTAATCGATCCCATAACATACTTAGTTTTTTCTTCTCAAGATTTAGAACCTAATACTTCTCGTTAAGAGTGAAATGATCTCATCCACCTACATATTAACTTTGATTTAATCCGTCGAGGTTGCATAATCTTGGACCAAAAACGTCCCACTTTGCACATTTAAAGGATCATACTTGTTCATAGTGATATAAAAAAGGACGAATAAAATTAATCCCTAAACTTAAGGGGTCATAAGTGACCAATTTTTTTAGTTTTAAAGATTAGCTCAACTTGATTCTTCACTTACTTGGAACCTAAACCCCTACAATGGCGAAAGAGGGAGCAAATGCTTCAGAAGACGAAAACGGAGCAGCTCCATCTAAGCGGCAACACAAATCAAAATCCAAAAGAGAAGATGAAACTGAATCCGAATCCAAATCCGGATCCGAACGGGAACGAGAAGTGAGAAAACACCGGAGAAAGAGAAGTCGAAGTCGAAGTTCTAGGAGAAGATCGCGGGATGATTCGTATTCGTCATCATCTGGAGAAGATTCGTATTCGGACTCTGAAGACTCGTATTCGGATTCGGAGTCGGGTAGTAGTTCGGAGTATTCGGATTCAGAAGAGGAGAGAAGGCGTAGAAAGAGGAGAGATAGGAAGAGAAGAGAGGAAAAAGAGAAAGAGAAGAAACGAAAGCTGAGGAAAGAGAAGGAGAAGAAGAAGAGGAGGAAGAAGGAGAAAGAGAAGGAGAGAAAGAAGAAAAAGAAAGAGAAGGGGAAAACTGGTGCTGTTACAAACTCTTGGGGAAAATATGGAATCATCAAGGAAACTGATATGTGGTGAGCTACTTTTCATGGCTTTCATATTTTAATTTTTGAGTGTTTAATTCTTTTGATTATGAATTGATTAATGCTTAAATCTTGGTTTGGAGTAGTGATGTGAAGTGTATTAGTAAAGGAACTGACTTCTCTTTTGGTAAAAATGTATTCTTTGGCTAATATTTTCACACACCTAAACACTAGACCCTCACTTGTTATCCCAAAAGCATGTTCTGAAAGACTTAACTACTTGATTGTAAGCAAGCTACAACAACAAAAACAACATACCCGGCTTCTCGTTTGTATGTCTTGTTTCTTATGCATCTTCTTGATGCCTTTTAAAGATATAATCTTACTTCATAAAAAAGGAGACAATGGTGTCTTTACACTCCCACCCTACACATCTTTGCTTGTGATAAGTTTTATGTTGGATCCTTTATCAGTCCTTGAGACCGGCTTTGTGAGCAAGCTCACACAGGCGAGTGATTATTCTACAAATTTTAGGCTTTAACCCTTAATGTAACTTGAATGCTCTGAACAATTATTCAATCTATCCTCTGTTCCATTATACTGGTCAGAACATATGATATCCAGATAGAGCTTTACTTTTGGATCATTTTCTGGCATAATTCTTAAGAGGATGCAGCATTTTGAGTAGTGAGAGCACATGCTCTTGACTCCTATATTGTCCAGAAAGAAGTCGGTCATATTGCTGTAGATGAAGATATACCTTTTTTTATATTGTGGCTGGACCATTCATCTCATTCATCTGCGCAGATGTACCTTTTATTGATATAAAGGAGAGTGAAAATTTCTGAATTCAAGCATCATTACGGTGATAATATGTTGATGCTTGAACTAATTACTATGGATTCTCGTCACCTTCTTGTGTGTTACGATTTTATTTCAGAAGGTTGCAGGAAATGTTTTACTCTTCACTTTGGTGTCAGTTTTGATGATCAGATTGTTCTTGTATAGTTTTCAACTTTAGTTATTGCTTATTGTAGGAACAAACGGCCAGAGTTTACCGCATGGTTGGCAGAAATAAAGAAGGTACATAGTGGCTCTTTAAGCTTATGCATGTTGATCATCCACGCAGGACTTGTCTCAGGATATGCCAATTGTTTTGATAAATATTTCTGGATAGGTCAAGCATTTTCCTTTTAGTGCACCATAGTGCATTTCCAAAGGTCCTCATTAAAAAGCTTCCATTGCATAGTACTTATCTACATTCTCTTTCTATTCAATTTTGTGTAAGACATTACTTCTAGTTGTGGAAGTTTTCATTTCTTGTGTCATTTATAGGTGAATCTGGAAAGCCTGCCAAATTGGGAAGAGAAGCAACTGTTCAAGCAGTAAGTAAATCGAGAAGGGATAAGCTAGTTCTTATTAGCACCTGTTCTTCCCCTTTCTCTACCTCTGTTTAAGCAATATATGCAAGGAACTTCCACTTTTTTATAGTCAGCTATTGTGCAGATTCATGGAGGATCATAATACTGCAACCTTCCCTTCTAAAAAGTAAGGCTACTGCACTATTTCAATCTAAACTTTTTTTTCTGGTTGGGATGGGGGTTCTTTCTATATTGTTAATAAATATATTGAGTTGGGGTGTTCTGTGTGAGGCTTCTAGTTCCTTGCAGGATGATATGTGTTTGTACACACATACACACACACTAAGATAGGTATACAGATGCTTGATATTTGAGCTATGCTTATAATCATCTAACAGTACTTCTGTTATTCTTCATTTTTGCAGATATTATAACCTTGACGCCTATTACAGACGTAAAATGGAAAAGGAATGCAGAAGAGGTGTCAAGAAGGTCATGGACGATGAACGTACTGTCTTCGATGATGAAGAACAGCGCAGGTAAGTTATGGACACGGTTGCCATTTCGTTGTAAAAAATCGTTTTTTGCTTGAGTAATATGAAGTCTGTTAAGGGCATGACACAAATTCAAATATTGTTATAGAACCAAGTTTGGTATTCAAGTCTAGAAAGATACACCTATTATCCACTGAATTTTGAGTCTCGAAGCGGAAACACGGGATTTCGTATTTAAAGGAAATAACTTGGAAGTCACTTAGGAACTTCCAAATTTCTAATGTGGTCCTGATTCTCTTAGGAACTCTTTGAACAGAGTCACTATCCTGCTGTGGTGATATAGATTATTGCTTTGCCCTAGTTTCTTCTTTCAGACATGAAACCACATTATAATGCTAAAAGATGGTGGTATGAGGTATATATAAAATTCTAGCATCCTGGAAGCTATAGGATCCCAGGTTAGCAAGTACTATATAGTTAAAACATACTAGAGTATTTTTTTTTCCTGAAGACAAATTTGTAGAGCATAGCTTTTGTCATTGAAAGGGAAAAAAAGGAGAGGAGATTTTCATCTTTGCACTAAATGGTATAGTCTAGTTTTTGAGTCGTTGCCTATTATGTTATTGTAGGCAAGAATTGATGCGAGAACGTGAGAAGCACAAGCAAGAACAGGTGGAAGCATTGAAGTGCGAGATGCAGAGTGGAATGGTATGTATTCTGCTACCTTTGCCCTTCTCCATACAACAGGTGAAAAGTATATAATGTGACAAACTCCTCTCTTTGTGTTTGTAAATTTGAATCTCTAAGGCGCAAGCAATGAAAGAACAAGCTCAATTAAGAGAAGAGATGGCTTATCAATACAAGCTTGGTAACTTTGAGGTGAGAATGAGCCTGAAATTTCATGATACACTATTTTCTTTTTCCGCTCATTGATCTTATTTTCCGTTGTCCTGATAGGCTGCAGCTGCTATTCAAAGACGTTTGGACCCTGATCTCCCTATGTAGACGAGGTCCTGCAAAATTTTGGCCTAGGCTACAACGGATTACATTAGACTACATGTTTTAGTTTTACTCGCTCCTTTTCGCTGAGTAAATATGCTTGCAGATTCATCTGCAAGTCTGCGCTTCTTACTAGATATCACTAGGCTAGATGAGTTGAAATCTGGTCCATGTATTGTTGTGTAATATCATCTGCACTCCCATCTTTTTACTCTGTTCTCCACCTTAATGATGTTAAGTGACAAATTAACCTTGCATTAAGACTGATGTCGAATGTCCTATAAAATGTTACCTGTTTAACCTTTTCAAAAATTGAATTTGATGGGCTAGATTACTGTTGTTTGATCATTTCTAATCTAAGTAAACTTGTAAAAGATAAGAATCTACACCAAGAGTTCAGAGGTAAGTTTTCCTAAGTGGTGGTTAAACCAATTATGTTGTATGTGGTAGAGTGTTGGCTGGTCAAGTACTTGCATGTTCAGAAGATGAAGGTAGAGAAAATTAGGACATACATATGGATGTGTGAGTATATTAGAAGAGGTAGAAGAGGTAGGACTATGAACGAGGATATTCTGGATAGGGTGGGAGTGGCCTCGTGGTGGACAAGATGAGGGGTAGGAGTCTGAGATGGTTTAGACATGTGAAGAGAAAATGACCAGATGTCCCAGTGAGTAGGTGTGAGAGGTTAGTTACAATGGGCTTGGGGTAGGGGTGAAGAAGTACGAGGAGAGATGATTAAACAGACTATGATTCATCAGCAGCTTATCAAGGGCATGACCTTAGATAGGAGGACATGAAGGTCAAGGATTAGGATAAAATATAAGTAGGTAATTGAGTATCGTCTAGTTTTCTCACGTTTAGGTACGTATACACATACATACAACACTTGTATTTTCCTATCTAGGGTGCAATATTCGGTCTACTTTGCCTAGTAGCACGATGGTTGTACATGAAAAGACATGTTTAATTACATATATATATACAATCTTATATAACCTTATCCAACATGGTACGTATTTGATGTCGAATTTTGAACCGCTTCATCAAAAAGATTAAAATGTTCGATAAAGTATAATTTATTTATTTTCAAATATATTTCCAATAAGCCTCTTCACATGTGAGTCTAATATCTTTTGATGGGATAAACACATGAAAATTCGTTTTGATGAAATTTTAACCCAAAATCTCGTCTTGCTTTAATTTGTACTACCCCCATCCTAATATAAAAATAAACTTCGACCAAAATTGTTGAGTTTTGTCGAACCCCTAGTTTTAAGGTTGTCTCCGCCCCTGAATGGATGCATGCACTATACATTATTCTTCCAAAAACACTAATATTCTTTTGACTTATGATAAAACAGCAATGCAATGATTGATTACATGAAAGAAATGGACAAGCTAGGAATGGTTATATTTAAGATGTTGGCACATGGATTAGGCCTTGAAGATGACTTTTTCTTTAGAAAAAAATTTGAAGAAAAAGAAGCAACTTATTTTAGGGTTAGTAGATATCCTCCTTGTCCTCTCCCAGAGAAGAATGTTGGTATAGGGATCCATTCAGACCCACAAACTTTAACTATATTGCATCAAGATCAAGTTGGTGGCCTTCAAGTCCTCAAAGATGATAAGCAATGGATTGGAGTTAGACCTCTTCCAAATTCATTTGTCATCAATATTGGTGACACCCTTGAGGTCATATTCTCTCTCTTATGTTTACTAAACAGTAAAATTCATTGCTAATTCTTTTTATCAACAGAAAGCGATCAAAAAAATTTGTTAGCTTCGAGCAATTTGAGGATGTCTTGATGATAAAGTTCATAGCTAATTTCATTTTTTCAGTAATTCACCCCTCTCATACACACAAGATAGGAAGTCAACGTTTGATACCTGGGTTAAAATATCAAACGTTGACTTCCTTCACTCGTGGATAAAAGTCATTTCCCTTATAACTGTTATTACTTATATTATCTTACATAAAATTTAAGAAAAACTAGTGAAAATGTATTAATTTCATCAATAACCAAACACTAGAGAATATGTATTTTTTTAAATTTATGAAAAATAGACTTTTGTCGTATCAAACACGTATGTTTTTAAGTTTTATATTATGTTTGAGTAATTATGATTAAAACCTTTGTATTTCTTGTAGGCTTGGACAAATGGAAGGTTAAAGAGTGTTATACATAGGGCAGTGGTGAATAAGGAGAAGCAAAGGCTATCAATAGCATATTTTATGAGTCCAACAAGTAATGCAATTATTGAATGCCCTCCTCAATTAATTCATCCAATTTATAATCCAAGAAAATATGTACCTTTTACATGGGCTCAATTGAGGCACCTTCTATTGACTACCAAGAGGGTTAGGGGCAAAGCTGTTGCCCTCAATAAATTTTTTATTTCTAATTGAGACTTTGAGAATTCTCAGCGTTTTACACGATCATGAGAAATAAATAAAATGTAATTGAGTAAAAATTCTTATCTCTAATTGCAACTTGAGAAATAAATAATTTTTTTTTTTTTGCTTTCTTACCAAACACTAGAAAATAAGTAAAAAAAATCAACTTGTTTTCTACGAATCAGACTAATTGATAATTTAATATATGAGGTTTGGTATTTCATTATTACTACTAGTTAAGTGTACGCGCTTTTGTAATTGTATTTGAAATTAAAATTTATGGAAGATTAATTTCATTGCATTAAATATAATACTATGAGTACACGTTTCCATATATTATTTCATCATCAAATCTAGTACTCAACAAACCTTAAAAAAACCAATCAATTAATGTTTCCATATTTCCCTTTTTCATTTACCCTATAATTCTTTCAACAGACCTATCTTTCTATCTTTATAACTAAATAACTGCCTTAATTCTTCTATCAACAATCAACATGTCCACTGGGAAAGTGTTTTTAGTTTTTACAAGTTTTGCTATTTTTAGTAAATTTCCTTATCTTCAACACACTATAAAAGCTGACATCTAACATATCACACATATATCTTCTATAATTCATTATACAAAATGTCTTATACAAAAAGAAGTTGCATTTCTGGGCTCTTTCTCTTGTTCTTAGCTCTTGCTTGTGAAGCGAATTCGGGGTTTATAGGAGTTAAAGATTCTCATTTTGAACTCAATGGATCCCCTTTTCTATTTAATGGTTTCAACTCATATTGGTTGATGCATGTTGCTGCTGACCCTACTGAGAGATACAAAGTTACTGAGGTTCTTAAAGATGCTTCTGTTGCTGGTCTTTCTGTTTGTCGTACTTGGGCTTTTAGTGATGGAGGTGATAGAGCATTACAAATATCACCTGGTGTTTATGATGAACGTGTTTTTCAGGTAAAGGACGTTTGTTATTATAGTTCTGATAACTTTTACATTATCGCGTTGTAATGCATGTGAGTACCTTAATTAGATATACTTGTTCTAAATTTAGGGTTTGGATTTTGTGATCGCGGAAGCTAAGAAATATGGTGTTCGTTTAATATTGAGCTTTGTAAATCAATGGAACGATTTTGGAGGAAAAGCTCAATATGTTTGGTGGGCACGAAATGCAGGAGCTCAGATTAGTAATGACGATGAATTCTATACTCATCCTATGCTACAAAAAATACTTGAAGAACCATATTGAGGTATATATGTAGTAATTATTATTTAATACATATAAACAACTTTTTTTTATTAATAATATTATGAAATTGTTACAGAAAGTGGTTACAAGGTTGAATAGTATTACTAAAGTTGCTTATAAAGATGATCCAACAATTATGGCATGGGAACTTATGAATGAGCCACGTGATCAAGCTGACTATTCAGGAAAAACTGTTAATGTAAGTCCCAATTCAAGTTCAAATAAATTGAATTTTAGAAATATCAAATCTATGATTGACGTTTTTGACTAATATTGTTATAGGGTTGGGTTCAAGAAATGGCAAGTTTTGTGAAGTCATTAGACAACAAACATTTGCTAGAGGTTGGAATGGAGGGATTTTATGGTGATTCAATTCCTGAAAGGAAATCAGTTAATCCTGGTTATCAAGTTGGAACAGATTTCATTAGTAACCATCTTATCAATGAGATTGATTTTGCTACTATCCATGCATACACTGACCAATGGTAATTTTTACATCTACTCACAAATTCACATGTTTTCATTATAGGTCTAAATATTTTTTTTATAGGGTGTCTGGACAAAGTGATGATGCACAATTGGTGTGGATGGAAAAGTGGATAACAAGTCATTGGGAAGATGCAAGAAATATATTAAAGAAACCTCTAGTGCTTGCTGAATTTGGAAAGTCTAGTAGAGGTCAAGGATCAAGAGATATATTTATGAGTAGTGTATATAGAAATGTGTATAATTTGGCAAAAGAAGGTGGAACAATGGGAGGAAGTTTAGTATGGCAACTAATGGCACATGGAATGGAGAATTATGATGATGGTTATTGTATTGTTTTGGGACAAAATCCTTCAACTACACAAATTATTTCAGATCAAGCTCATGTCATGGCAGCTTTGGCTCATTCTTTCAATTGAGTGAAAAGGCATCAAGATCATTATTATACAATAATCAATTTATAAGTGGATTTGAATGATCTTAAATCCATCATTTTTAATATTAATTATTTGAGATGATATTACCAAACATGTTGAAGTTGATTAAACTCAAGAATGTAATTGAATAAATTGTTTTAGTAAAAAGGAAAGTTATATTTTATGTCCTCTTGTTTTTATTTTGAGTTTAAATTTTTTACATATGCTAAAGGAATAATTGATTGGAGACATGCAACACACATAGGATCAGGGGCGGAGCTACCCTTGACTGAGGGGTGTCTAGACACTCCTTCATCATAAAATTATATAATTATTGTATCGATAGGTTAAATTTTAGTTTTGTAGGTACATACATATAGTATGATATATCGGTGTTGATAACTCTCGACTCAAGTTAAAGGTTCAACGTAGTGATTAAGATGCCAGAAAGCTTTAATTTATTAAAGTTGTGTTTGATCCTAGCTAATGACATAATTATATTTTTTTGACACATCTTAATGAAAATATTGTGTATATCAAAGATCTACCATGTTATGAAACTTTTGAGAGAAGTATGTGTAGTGTTAATTATAGAAACTAAAAGATTGACACAACAAATTATTATAGCATTGCTTGTGACAAGTAAACTCTAAAGTATATAATTTAAACCTCAGAATTTAATAAAAATTTAAGTTTTATACATCATCCTCGATATAAAAAATACAATCACAATTTAAGTTACTTATAAGGTAATTACAATTACTTTTAGTAGAACTCCATGTTACAATGCAGTCTAATTCAACTGCCCTTTATCCCTTGTCCCTGTCACTTAATAGATTTCCCATGATGAAACCCATGACTATTGTAAGTGGATTGTCTTGGGTAAAGAGCCAAATATATAATCTTTTATCTTTTTGGACTATGTACGTGAGTGTTTGATCATATTTCATTATGAAAAAAATATATTCTCAAAGTGAAAAATATTATTTGAAAATTGAAATTGTGTTTTGTCATAAATACAAATTGGACATTAACTTTTACTTTTTGTGAGCAAGTTCTTGAAAATTCTAAAATTTAATTTAGAATTTTATGACCAAACGTGTTTTTAGAGTTTAACTTCGGAAAACGTGATTTTTTTTTAATTATAATAATGTGACTTTCTTATTGAAATGAACTAAAAAAAGAAAAAAGTATCACATAAAATAGGACGGAGGGAGTACTGAAGATTGAGCATAAGGATATGTTTATTTATTGTAGAAATATCAAAAGGAAATCTAAACATTGAAGCCTGATTGGTGGCATACAATTGACACAAATCATACTAGTCTGAAATATTTATCTTATCTAAGTAACACCCCATAGTATCTTACTGTATATATATGTGCCCCAAATCCTTAGAATTCTCACACTATCAGTCCAAAAATCATTTTTTAAAATCTACAATATTTTTAGAACAAAACTCAATTCCTAATATTCATGGCTCTTCAGGCTGCTGCATTGCTTCCATCTACTTTCTCTATTCCCAAGGAGGTTTGTATTCCATCCTATTCTCTCCGATTCAATTTACGTGACACTTTTCGTTTTTTGAAATTTGAATATCTCCGTCTCAATACATTTTACAGTTAAATTACTACTAGATATAAAAATGTGTGATTCTTTTTTATATTGGCTAAAAATGAAAGTTTGTCGTGTAAATTGGAATAGGGAAGGTATATATAAATTTTGATCAATGATATTAAGTTGATATAATTCAATTTAGCTTCGAGTCAAATTGACTCTCGAAAAGCAAAAAATATTCTTTTACTCATTTCTGTTATGTTGCAGGGGAAAACTAGTGCAACTTTGAAGGATTCTAGTCTCTTTGGAATCTCTCTCTCTGACCATGTTAAATCTGATTTTGGCTCTTCATTCAAAATCAAGGTACAATTTTAGCTTTCATGTGGTTTAATTCGATGCAACGCGAAGAAATGGTCACCGAATTTTACCTACTATATAACAGTAAAGTCACAATTTTTTTATTTTTTTCACATTAACTGAACTTTACAAGCTATACTAGTACATTCAGTAACCATACGTGAAATTAACCTGTTAGAATTTCGTTACAGAAGAAAGTCATCACTCAAAACTATTAGAGCCGAGAAGATGTCACAACTCACAACACACATTTCTTTTGTCACATTATAAAGTAACTGAACTTTACAAGCTATACTAGTACATTCAGTGACCATACGTGAAATTAACCTGTTGAAATTTCGTTACAGAAGAATGTCATCCCTCAGAGCTATTAGAGCCGAGACGATGTCACAACTCACAACACACATTTCTTTTGTCACATTATGAAGTAACTGAACTTTCCAAACTATACTAGTACATTCAGTGACCATACGTGAAATTAACCTGTTGTAATTTCGTTACAGAGCGGAAGAAAGTCATCCCTCAGAGCTATTAGAGCAGAGAAATATCACAACACACATTTTTGTCACACTTTTCTTCTGTCACATTATAAAGTAACTGAACTTTACAAGCTATACTAGTACATTCAGTGACCATACGTGAAATTAACCTATTGTAATTTCGTTACAGAGCGGAAGAAAGTCATCCCTCGGAGCTATTAGAGCCGAGACAATGGTTGCATCTCCCGGTGTAACGAATACCCCCGTGACAGGAAAGAAAACCTTAAGAAAAGGTTGTGTAGTAATCACTGGAGCCTCTTCAGGACTAGGACTAGCAACAGCAAAAGCTCTGGCTGAGACAGGGAAATGGCATGTAATTATGGCATGTAGGGACTTTCTTAAAGCTGAAAGAGCAGCAAAATCAGCAGGGATGCCTAAGGAGAATTACACTATAATGCATTTAGACCTTGCATCGCTTGACAGCGTCAGACAATTTGTCGATAACTTTAGGAGATCAGGCAATCCTCTTGATGTATTGGTTTGCAATGCAGCTGTTTATCAGCCTACCGCGAAAGAGCCTTCGTTCACAGCTGAAGGATTTGAGCTTAGTGTTGGGACTAACCATCTTGGTCATTTCCTTCTTTCAAGATTGTTGCTTGATGACTTGAAGCAGTCTGATTACCCTTCAAAGAGACTCATCATTGTCGGTTCGATTACAGGTAACAGTCAAACCTCTTTATAACAACATTGTTTGTCTGGATAATTTTTGGTTGTTTTAGCAAAATAGTGTTATAGTGATGATATAATATAACATAACATGAAAAATCAGTCCCAAGAAAAACTTGGGCGTTCCAGTGACATATTGTTATAGAGAGGTTTGACTGTTATCAGAGCAATCAATCGTGTATCCAACTATAAGTTCAATGGTTTGGTAGAACCTAGTGTTTCGTTGTTGAATTCTATATATACGTGCAAAAATCAAGTGTAGACCATGTCTAAATTCTCGAAATTTACTAGTCGTGAAGTCAATTGGATTAACCGTAGTTATTGAAATCACTTGTCAGGAAACACTAACACATTGGCTGGAAATGTACCTCCAAAGGCCAACCTCGGGGACTTGAGGGGTTTGGCAAGAGGGCTCGATGGACTTAACAGCTCAGCCATGATTGATGGTGGTGACTTTGATGGTGCCAAAGCATACAAAGACAGCAAGGTTTGCAATATGCTCACTATGCAGGAATTCCATAGACGATACCACGAGGAGACTGGCATCACATTTGCTTCTCTATACCCTGGCTGCATCGCGACAACAGGGCTATTCAGGGAGCATATCCCCTTGTTTAGGCTCCTTTTCCCTCCATTCCAGAAGTTTATCACCAAGGGATTCGTCTCCGAGGCAGAATCTGGAAAGAGACTTGCACAGGTAATAATAATCAGTGTCAGTTCACGTATAATCACTGAACTTTATCCACTATAACAATAACCATAAAGATATGACACATGGGCCTAACTCAACCCCAAAAGCTAGCTCATGAGGGGAGGATTGCCCAAGTCTATATAAGGAGACCACTAGTCCATTCCTCAATCAATGTGAGACTTTTACCCACTCTAACATCCCCCTTTCACGCCCAGGCTCAACTGGAGTGTGGATCGGGAACCCAAACGGGGATGGACCTAGCTTTGATACCATGTAAAAGATGATCTTATGCCTAATCAAGAAACGGATTTTTGTCACACTAAAGTTACTAAACATAAGATGTTGTTTGTTTGTTTTGTACAGGTTGTAAGTGATCCAAGTCTTACAAAATCAGGTGTTTATTGGAGCTGGAACAAGAACTCTTCCTCTTTTGAAAACCAGTTGTCAGAAGAAGCTAGTGACGTTGAGAAAGCGCGTAAAGTGTGGGAAGTCAGTGAGAAACTCCTCGGGTTGGCTTAGATTTTGCAGATTGAGTTCAACCATCGCCAAGACGAACAAGAAAAGGGAGTTGATGAAGGAGAACTTGAATCAAGAGTTTGTTTTGTTGTAGTTAAAAGTTGTCACTTTGTAAAAATTTTGAGTTATGAATAAATATCACTCATTCTGTTTTCTTCTGAAGCAAAAGTGTTACCAATTTATTTCCAGTATGATTTTGATTCCTTATTCACTGCATAAAAACAAAAATTAGCAACGGACAACTTCTGTTGTTAAACAAAAATATGTCACTAGTTCTATTTAAGAGCTATACCTGAAGTCGAGCTAATTGCATAAGCAGAGGGGAGAAATAACAATCAACTGCATAGGATATTTTATGCAGTAAGGGGTACTTGTAATATTTCCACTATCCCAAAACCAGGTTAATTCTAGTACGGGGAAAAAGCTCAAATATGTCATTGCATTATCAAAAATGACTCATACATATCATCCGTTAAAGTTGAGCTTATTTTTATGTCATCAGTGTGACACTACGTGCACATTCGTGCCACTCTTCACTAACGGCTCAAATCGCATTCTGATAGCTCGATGACATATTTGGTTAAGGTTTTCTACAGAAGGATTATTCAATGTGCCAAGACACCAGCTTCAGGCATTTTCATTCAGTAAATTTTGTGCTTCCTGAATCCTGAGTGTCCATCAAGTTCTATAAGAAAGCAAAATGAATTCCACTCTCGAAATTCACATTGATCAATAGATTTATCTTAACCTTGTCGTTTGAATAGCTAAGGTTGATTTCCCCAAATAGAAAGATTTCAACGCTGAATCATTTCTAATGTTTCATTTATTTTCCAAGCGTTATACACAGGTGCAAAGCACGTACAGGTAAGAAACCAACCTAAAACAAACTCGAAAATGGAACCAAAACAGAAGAAACACTAAAGGAAGTTCGAAAATCGCAGAGAATCAACTTAGTAAGAAGTGTTCCAATCAGACCAGTTAGCTTCACTGCCAACTCTAGGGATGCTGTTAATTCTGGAATACATATCCACTTTGAAGTTAGCTCCACACATTACCCCTTCACTATCTACTCTTGGCATGGCCCTCATCTTGTTCATCGGGTGCTCGAAATTCATTAGACCTTTCTCACTGTGGAACATACAACCTGCACATTTCAAGGAAAAGTTATCATGTTAAATTGGAACGTAAGTAGACGAGGGGGCGGATGTAGCCAAGTCAATCAAGCCAGTGAATCAAATTTTGTAAAATCGAAGAACTAAATTCAACTTCCTCTCCTATTCACCACGAAACGAAGAATACCACTATATCTTTTCTTTCTTCTACTTCTTCCAAGTGCAATATAACCCCAAGGGGATGCCGGTTCTTCCTTCACCATCCCCGACTGGTCTACAGGGTTCATAACTATTGCTCTTACTTTGATAATGCGGCTCAACTATTTCCCCCCTTCGACAAACGACATTACTTCACCAAACTATTTCATCTATTAAACATGAAACTCCTTGTAGATGTTACCTGTGGGAAAGGGTGCAAATGACTAAGCACATCCAGCTTTAATCACCTCTACATCATCAGAAATCACCACAGATCCATCAGCAGCAATACCCCAGAATAACTTCACCCCACCATCTGAACCCTGCACTTATACGACAACAGATTTAACGACATTTTGGTACATTCAACATATCTTTACTTCAACGCAACAAGACTCAAAAGTCTGTTCTACTTTCTTAAACTCCATATCAAGTCAAAATCAGATAAACGTATTGAAATTGAGTTAGAGTAAATGAACAAACAAGTAATACTCCCTTTGTCTCCTCTATCTCAGTTTATATGACTCACCGTCTTTTTTTAGTTTGTCTCGAAAAAATGACACATTTCTGTATTAAGTATAACAATTTAACTTTAAAATGACTATTTTACCCTTAATGACATGATTTATAGCCACACAAACATATACTATCACTTATTCTAAACTACAATAAACTTTGTGTCAAGTCAAACTAATTCGTATAAAACAGGACGGAGGGAGTAATACAATTACTTACCAAAGCAACAAATACAGTTCCAGTCTTACTATCATAGATAACAAAAGCAAAACTTCCTTCAAAATCCTTAATAACTTGATCAGCTGGATAAGGTCCCCTGTCTCTAAGTGTCCTGTAGGCTTCAATAACTAGCATGGCTTCATTTGTACCTTTTGGTGATAGCCCATATTGTTTGATTTGTGCACATAAGTTGTTCAAACTCCCCATGAACAAACAGTAAATATCATCATAACCACAAAAATACCTACAATAATAATAATCGCGCTTCAATTTCAAGAAATTCAACGCTAAAAACGTTTTTTTAGCTAAACAACAAAATTTGTATTCAACGACGAATTCTCCAAAAAAAAAAAACAGTTAGCTACAAGCTACTCCATCCGTTCCTATTTAGTTGTCTTGTTAGGCTATTGTTTTACACAATTCTTAAGAAAAAATTAGTTAGGACTTTGGAGTGTAATTTGACTAATATATATCTTATTAATTTTTTAATCTTTATTTATTTCTCTTCTCTAAATTCGAAAATAACTAATGCTAAGGGCGAAATTCCGTCTCATTGATGTGGGACACTTTTCTTTTTAGTTCGTCCCAAAAATAATGTCACTTTACTAGAAACAATTTAACTTTAAAATACCATTTTTACCCCTAATGAAATGAATTTTAACACCACATATATCTAAAAATTATTTTAGACCACAAATTTCAATAGTCTTCCTTTTTAAAAAAATATCATTTCAAGTCAAACAGTTTCACATAAAATCCAACGAAAAGAGTACTTTTTTTTCTTGATTCATTAAATTGGAAAATATATGAAAATAATTATTTTTAATATACACGACAACCAAACGAGACGAAGTAATTAGCAATGAACAAGTGACCAAATTTGTAGCTAATTTGGGGTCATCAGTAGTGTTCATATCAGTCCATTTAAGCTTATCTTAATTTTTAGTAATAATATAAGTACTTGAAATACTCTATATCTTCTTGTATAAATCTCTAACAAAATATATAATCTACTAATTAGGCAGCATATATAATTCACTAAGCATTTCTAGTTCACACAGAATTTGACAAAAATGACTCACTCCAACTCCTAAGTGGGGCGATCTAAGCCACCTATACCCTAATACAAGGATATTCATAATACAATTTTATCGTATCTTCAAATCAAACAGTATCACATAAAATAAACCGAAGAAAGTAATAAAATTTGTAATAATTATTTTACCTTTGTGTGTGATTGAGCAAGGAAGTGCAATTAGGACGAACAAAAGCAAGAGCAGCAGCATCTCCAAAGGTAACATAAGAGGTGTCAAATGGACGAGTCGAGATGAATTTTTGAAGTGTTTGTTGAGGAAGTAAACATTTTTTTGATGCAGGACTATTTAATTCTTCAGGTGGATGAGCAAATGCCTTGTGAAATATAGCCAACATTGTATCTTTTTTTAGCTTCAAGATGAATATCTAACAACAATATAAAAAAAAGTGGTTACTAAGGAGAGTATATATAATAAACTTTTTACACTAATGTTTTTATTTTTATTTTTATTTTTATAGTATAGTAATAATAATAAAGGAGGCTAAAGATGAAATATGTCAATTTTATCTTGTAGTGATAGAGTGTGACATGACAATGATGAGGATGGATAAGGTTTCTCGTATTTCTATGATGTCTTTATCCATTTAGATTTTACTATAATATTTATACCAACAAAATTAAATTTAAACTATATTAAACTGAAAAAATAATTAACTTAATCTAAAAATATCTCTCTTTTATCATTGTTTGATTCAAAACTATCAGTATCATTAATAGCTTATCCAAAAATGCTCTAGTCTTATTAGAGCTGTCAAAACGGGCCAGCCGAATCTTATCCCTCCCAAGCCTCGCGAGCCAAAAAATTTGATGGACTGGGGCGGGCCGGCCCTTCATTTCAAAGGCTGTAAAATGGTTAACCCGGCCCAACTCCAGAAGGGTCAAGGGCTGGGGCGGGCCGGCCCTCTTTTTTTTTATGTCAAATCAATGTCAGAAACAGTAACATTGTTTCAATAATTCTAAATAAAATCTAGCAATAAATATTTTAAAGAAAAAATAATAATCTCTTAAATAAATAATATCTGAAAAACAAACTAGTAAACTAAAGAACACTTCTGACTAAAACTTTAGTTAGCGTCAATACATAATTACTTAAAGTATTTTGTTAAATGAAATCAAGAAACTAATTAATTGTTCAAGCCATAAAACATTCTTTACATATAATATAAATAGTGTTTACTATCCAAGCGTTATATTCAAAACTAAATAATAAAGAATTCTTGAGGTAAGCTCCTTAGAAAAACTCCACAAACACTTATTTAGATTTTCTAGTTTTTTATTCTTATTTTTTTAATATTTATTTTAATTAAAATTAAACAATTTGGCCCATGGGCCGACCCCGATCAAGCCTCAAGGGCTAAGGGGCTAAAAGGGTTGGGCTTATAAGCCCCGCCTTTAAACGGGCTTGTAAAATCCTATCCTAACCCTACCCCAATAACGGGTTGGGTCGGGCCGGCCCCATGGACTAAGCCTTTTTTGACGGCTCTAATTCTTATTATGGTGTGTGTCTATATATATATATAATATTAATTACAATAATCAATAATTTAAACAATATATCAAAAACTTACGATCAATTTTTTAATTTCATTTGTGTCACATAAATTGAGACAATGGAGTAAAGACATATATTTACAAATTTTGTTTAAAAAACTATAAATTGCAATATAAATTTAAATCACAAATTCTTAAAAAATATTTTTTAATTTTGACGATTAATATATTGTATAGAAATTCACTTTTTATTTTATTAATGTACATAAGTCATTTCCTTATCCATATAGTTATCAAATATTTTCTTTGTGATTATATTTTTCTTTTTGTTAAGCTTTATGTCAGCCAGGGCCGGCACTATGCTTCGGGAAATAAGGCTTTTGCCTTAGGCCCTTAAATTTAGGGGCCCCAAATTTTTATGAACAATAAATTATATGTTAAAATTTTATACAAAAAATTGATTATTTATGATAAAAGTATAATTTTTTTTTAAAAATATATTATTTTATCCACTTTAACATCTTTTGTACTTTATTAAAAATAAGAATTAATAGTGAAAAGTGTTGAACAAAGTGAATTACAAATTCTTTTTTTATTTCGTTTTAAATTTTAGTTTCAAGCATTACTACAATCGTATTAAAATGGGGTATACCAAGTCATCAACTTCTTGCGTCAAATTCTATGGTTCTCAATCTTATCTCTATTTAATATTTATCAACTTATTACTTGTATAATTATGTTAACAATTCATATAATAATTGTCTCACTAAAAGGATGTATTTCAATGTTGAGTTGATAAAATCTTACCTAAAACTAAAAACAATATTAAAATACTAAAAATTTTCATCTAAATAGTGTAAGAAAAATAAATTTTGAATAAATATGTATACGAGGTTTGATTATATTTTAGGCTTCGAATTAAAATTTCGCTTTAGGCCCCAATCACGTTGAGCCGCCCCTGATTTCAGCCAGCCGAATTGTTTTTTATATTAAAAGAAGAAAAAGAAATTGAGCTTTTTACCACTTGATATGGGGCCAACAAGCTTTAACAAATCTGTGGGTGATTGTAACAATTTATTTGATGGTATTAGGATCGTGCAAAATTCAATTTAATTAATAAAGTGAATCGAAAAATAATATTAGTTTATCCAAAAATGCTCTATTCTTATTATGGTGTGTGTCTATATATATATATATATATATATATATAATATTAATTACAATAATCAATAATTTAAATAATATTTCAAAAATTTACGATCAATTTTCAATTTCATTTGTGTCACATAAATTGAGACAATGGAGTAAAGACATTTATATATTTACAAATTTTGTTTAAAAAACTATAAATTGCAATATAAATTTAAACCACAAATTTTAAAAAAATATTTTTTAATTTTGACGATTAATATATTGTATAGAAATTCACATTTTTTTTAATTAATTTACATAAGTCATATCCTTATCCATATAGTTATTTTTCTATTTATTCCTCCAAATATTTTCTTTCTGATTATATTTTTCTTTTTGTTAAGCTTTATGTCAGCCAGCCGAATTGTTTTTTCTATTAAAAGAAGAAAAAGAAATTGAGCTTTTTACCACTTGATATGGGGCCGCAAGCTTTAACAAATCTGTGGGTGACTATAACAATTTATTTGATGGTATTAGGATCGTGCAAAAATCAATTTAATTAATAAAGTGAATCGAAAAATAATATTAGTTTATTAAAATTGAATTGTTCAAAAGGGTTAAAATTGCTCATGAATTATATAAAATAGATCACTTGTATCTTTTGTTATATATTGAAATAAAAAATATTTTCGCCGTTAGTGATGTGGCAAAACCACGTGGAATAATTCTCCAACCTAAGTATTGTGAACTAGAATTTACTTATAAAAACTGGATCTTTAGTGGCAATAACCATAATCTCTCACTATTTGCAAAAGCATATTACTCATTTTTGTTCTAATTTATGCAATATTTTAAAATTGTTTTTTTAAAGTTTAATTGAATCAATTTTATTTAATATTCATATTCTATTTAACGTAAGAAGCCATGTTATATAACATTGCTTGGATTCCTACTTTTGCTAAAAAAATTTTTTTAATTAGGGATGGAATATCAAATCTTCATCAACAAGGTGAGAGTTTAAGTAATCAACCAACTGAATTACTAAGATTGGAATTCAATTGATATTATTACATTATTTAACTCTTTTAAAACCTTTATATTTAGTTTGTTGGTTGCCAAAATATTTATGCTACGGTTTCACTCTTTAATGCCACGCGTCATTTTTTATTGGCTGTGTCATCATTGATACAATTGTTTGTTTATTTAAAAATATTGTACTATTATATTTGTTGGTTGGATCTATTATTATTTTTTTCGGCCTCAATTGATATTTATGTTTTTTAATTTTAAATGTACATAAATAGATACTTATATTTGTGTATTTATAGACACATACATTCTACTTGACGTTTTATATGATAGTTCACATCCTACGTAATGCCCTATATATATTATATCATGTAGGATGCATATATTTTATTTATTTAACTTTATACTAGTTAAAATGACTATTTGTGTACATGTGAAGTAATTGAAGGAAATAAATGTCAACTGGAACTAAATTGAATGACATATTTATGTAATATGTCTTTTAAATTCAACATTACTCCCTCTCATCTAATGTTAAATGGACACCTTCTATATTACACGGTCATTAATAAATTAATTAATTTTACTATTTACCCTTTGTCCATATCATCAATGTTTATAAACATAAGTTGGAAAAAATATACACAGAATATAGAAACATATTTGAAAAAATAATACTCTGCTCATCTTTACTTGTTCAATATTTTCGCTACAGAACCCTTTCAAGGATGACGCTCTACAAGATTTCATACCCTATGCTCAAATTCGAAATCTCTGATTAACGGGTGAAACAGTTCCACCACGTTTGATATATATGATATATATATATAATAATGTAGTACTAGTCTGTTTAAGTTAAAACGTCCGTCAATGGCGGCTAACGTCAAGATTGACAAATGTTGAAAACGCTAACGTAGGAGCTTGCGTCATTTATATTCTGTGGACCCATTTGTTTAATGAATAATGATTGGCTGCACTAATATATATATTGAGGATTTTTGCATCTATTAGTTAAATAAAATTGGGAGAAACAGAGAAATGATGGAGACTGAAGAAAACATTGTAATTGTTGGTGCTGGCATAGCTGGTCTTGCTACTTCTTTGGCCCTTCACAGGTAATAATTGCTATTTTAAAATACTTGTTCAATAATTACATCATCTACTTCCAAAAGTTTGATTTAGAAATGTCTTTTAACTTGATCTCGACGAGCATTTATGCCCTCCACTTTTAGATGTGCATAAGTAATAATACACGTAGGATGCTACATAGGATGCTTGTGTTTACATGTTTAACTTTTGAATAATTTAAGTATCTACTAGTACTGACCCAAAGTTGGAGTACATAGAAGTGGGGCCAAGTTAGATGATACATTTATGTATTATGCCTCTCTAGAATATGATATTTCTGATATAATAGCGCTATTAGTTGAGTGATGATTTGAGAAATAACTCGGCGGAAGACGTGTCTTGTATGTAATATGTAGGTTGGGGCTGCGAAGTATTGTGTTGGAATCAGCAGATTCATTGCGAGCTACTGGATTTGCATTGGCACTGTGGACTAATGCCTGGAGAGCTTTGGATGCATTGGACATTGGGGACTCTCTTAGACAACGTTCCTTATCCATTACTGGGTAAGCTTCCTCTTTATTATTAGTTAGGATTTAGGATTACGAACAACTTGAAGTTCAATATCGAATTTTTATGAGATTTTGTGGTCATATGTGTTTTCCGGAGTTCTAG